ATTTATATGACAAAAAATGATCAGTAAAATGTATAAATCTTAAATTTACTTACATAAATCAGAGAAGTTTAGAATGATATATTTACTTGATTTTTAAACATTATATTTTATTGTAGAATTAAATTTAAATTTTTTGACATTTTATGAGCCAACTTTCACGGTTTGCATATGCTAGGGAAGAATGTGTACATGAATTGTTTTATATAATATGAATTGCATAACAAAATACGATTTTAATGAGCCTAAGAACGTTTAAAAATATTAATTTTTGCCAGAGAAATAAAAAAAATAGTCACTGAGAAAAATAATATCGTAATATTAAGAAAATAATTTAGTTAAGCATTTTTAGTTGGCCTTACTAAAGTATGGTTGGCACAACAGAAAAGAAAGTGGCAATCAATCGAAAAATTTAGTTTGCTCTACCAAAAAATATTTTTGAAGGTTTCATGTCTACGAACTAAACAGTTTGGTTCTCCGTACTAAATCGCTGGCACGCAGAATTGCGCACGCGCTGTTCTCGAAAATGTGGCGTCGGTCGTAGGGCCTAGTCAGTCGTGGACCTCTTCCGCGTTATGCTTATCCGATCATTTATGTCATGTGTTTTTATTGTTCGGCTGGTCTATTATCGTAGCAGTGTCATTAAAGTTTTATAAATATTTATTTTTTAAAAGTGTACTGAAAGTGTTTCTTTTATTTCGAAAGAATGGCTGACGAAGTGACAAAACGTTTGCTAAGAGAATGGGGGTTAGAATGCCTCGTGGCATTCTGTATCAACTTTTGAAAACTTGCTCCTCAATTTTATGCGATATCATTTTGAGATATTTCATGAAACGCGCGTAGTGTGTACTTACGGGAAGATAAATTATTTTTGTAATGTCTAAGCATAATGAATTTAATAAAGTTATATTATTAATCTCATCTCTCTTGAATTAAAATACCTTATTTTTTATACAAAATCGTAAAAATGACCAAATAAACTATTTTATATAAAATAAATTATTTAGTTATTTCTACAAAAACATTTTTTTTAATCAACGAAAACAGTAAGTTGAAATAACTAAATTTTATTTACGTCAACAGAACATTATTTTTCATTCTAATAAATGTATTTATTACGTAGACTAAATTATTTGGTTACACCTACTAAATAATTCAATTGAGCGAAATTTAACGGTTGGACAAAAAAATTTAGTACTCCCAACCAAACGGGTTAGTTGCACATATATCAAATAAAAAATTTGGTAGGGACAACCAAACTTTGATACATGGTACCAAACAGTTTTCTCAGTGGTAAAAACATTGAAAATTGGGTTTATCTTAGATATCTAATTGAAAAATTAACATATTCTCTTTGTCAAGGTGTCATTTCTTTCAGAATTTTATTAACTTTAATAAAATAAAGAGGAAAAAATTTTAGTTTTAATATTTTTGTTTTATAGTTGTTGAAAAAGCAGAGTTCGCACAATTTCGGACGATAGTGTACAAATTTCACTTGGAATCGACCTTATATGGAGAAAAGTTAAATTATACATTTAAAGTTATTTTCATCGTATCATTAAACGTATATATTATCAGTAGTAATGGTGAAGATATACTTTTGTATATTTATTTGAAATTGATTGAACAGAATTTATTGAAATTATACGAATTAATGAATGCCGTCTTTGATGGAAATCGCAATTCTATAAATATCACACTGTGATTACATTTATAAGATAGAAAGTTTAGTTGTCAACCTTCTGAAGAAGAAAACGTTGAAAAGATAAGATGCAAGTTTGCAATTTATGAAGACGATGATTCACAAATCGATTATTTAATTCTTGAATAAAGTCGAATATAATACTATATATATATATATATATATATATATATATACGCCTACACTTTTATGATAATAAAAAAAAGTGAATGAATATCTTCATATTATTTTAGTAAATATTTGTTCTTTAGTATACATATAAAAATGTAGGTAAATATTTTTTCATTTTTATTTTCAGCACATTTATTTATAAAAATTGTATACTGTTATTTTTATTATTTATAGTTTATACTTTTCTATATTTTTTTATAACTTTGTTATGTGCATTCTACATTACAATTTCTTTAATTTTCAAAAAATATAATATTTTAAAAATTTAATTAGAATTTACTTAAATCGGAAGACATTTTTATTCTTGAACGAAATATACTATGAGCTCGTTTTCACCTTGTGGATAAATTTAATCTTCCAAGAGTTTAATGGCAATAGATATATTCTGCGTCTGCGCAGAATATATCTATTGCCTTTAAACTCTTGGAAGATTAAATTTATCGTTTGAAAGTTTCGTTTTCAAAATTATTTAATATTTTCGTCAATAAAAAACTGATTATCATAAAACTTTATAGAAATCATTGTTACATTGAAAAAAACAATTTATTTGATTCAAATACAATTTGGTTACTTGACTATTATCAAAGAAATATTTATTTGAATCATTTAAATGGTATTTGTTTGAAATACAGAAATTATTGGTTAAAATACAGTTTATTTAAAATTAAAATAAAAATTATTTGATTCAATTAAATATTTATTTGATAATAGTCAAGTAACCGATTATTTGAATCAAGTAAATTTTTTTTCCAGTGTACCATATAATACTTTATCCTTAAAAACAGTGCGATTTTATATTAATTTTTGATAAAGTTATTAACAAAAATAGACTTAACCGACAGTCGAACTTACCCGAATCTCATGTTAGTACAATTTTGGAAAATTTTTTATATTTTTTTTTAAATTTTTTACCTGTATATTGTGTTAAAGAAAAAAATAACTAACTGAATCGAATAGCAAATTGAATTCATTAATTGAAAAAAGGTATATTATATTCTAATTGAAATTGTAAGATTGAATTAATTATAACTAATGAATCACGTCAATCATAAAACAGTTAATCAATGAAAGTAAGAGGCAAGCAGTAGCAACAGTTTAGATGAAGTGGAAGGATACATTGAACTGATTATGTCAAAGATGCAATTAACTTTTTAGCACTTGTTTCTCTTCAGTAGGCGATAAATGTTATTTAATCCTCTCATGTACAAATGCATCCGTCTACATGTGTATATAATAAATAGTTATAGAATTTATCACTCATTGAATTTATACTCCTTGAACCACTTTGTATATATATATTTATAACGCTACCGACCAACTGGTAATATCTACAGCATATTTGCATCGCTTATTATTATTATTATTCACATTATCGTTGCACGTGACCGATTGAATGAAACTGCTTTTATCTTTCAGAATCGCAGTGAGCGTATATCTCGATATATTGATAGTAGGTACACAGTTTCTAAATAGTAATTCTCTAATTTACAAGATCGACGTTTCTGGCATGCGAGATCAAAGGTATTGGAGATTAGAATTATAAGGAAGGGAAAAAACATGTTTTGATTAATTTAATATATTGTTTATCTACATCAGGAATGGATATTTTTCTATTTTTAATAAAAGATATTACCGCTTCGCTGTCGTTTAAAAATAAATAAAAGTGATTCTATTTTCTATAAATTTTATTCCCTAGGGTTGAAAAAGGCCATTTTAGCCCCTAGTGTTAAAAAAGGTCAATTTAATCTAAAGTCGAAGACTTTCTAGGACTAGAAGTATCTTCTCAATTTCCTTGGTCGAAAGAAGAAACTTTACTCCCTTGTGTGGAAATAGGTACTTTGCACACTAGGGTTAAAAAGATGAATTATCCTCTAGTTGGAAAAGGGCATTATACTTTTTAGTGTCGAAAAAGACACTTTTCTCATTAGGACTAAAAGTATCTTTTTAATACTTCTGATAGAAAAAGGCGATTTTAGTCCCTTGTATTGAAAATAGGTACTTTGCACACTAGGGTTAAAAAAATGTACCCCCTAGTTTCGAAAAGGATCAATTTTATTAAAATTTGAAAAAATACATTTTACTCTCTAGGACTGAAAGTCTCTTTTTAATTCCCTTGGTCGAAAAAAGCAATTTTACCCCCTAGTGTGAAAATAGGTACTTTGCATACTAGGTTTAAAAAAAAGCGAATTTACTCTCTATTAGGAAAAGGGACTAAAAGTATCTTTTTAATGTTACTGATAGAAAAATGCCATTTTAGTTCCTAATTCTCATTAGGTTTACAAAAAGAAAATTTTAATTCCTATGGTCGAAAAAGGCCATTTTACTCCCTAGTGTCAAAATGCGGCCAACTTAATCTATAATATTAAAAAAAAGACAATTCTACGCACTAAAATTCATATAATATTAAAAAATTTATTGGTAAATATACATACTTCAATATTGTACACAATAAATTTCAGAAATAGAATATTACTATTTAGATATGTATAATGGAAATACTTGACATTTCTGGTTTTTATTTAGGTCTTAAACTATATATCTATAAAAGTAAAAATAGAAATGCGACACTATTGTTTATCGCTCAAAAACAATATGCGATCTAGAAACCTTTTACGAGCATTTTAATGACAAATTAAAACAATTCATTTGTCCGAAAGAGCTTGACGTATAACTAAATATACAATATTATATCACATTATTTAATTATATATATATATATATAATATAAAGTAGATTGATTAAATTAAAGAAGACCACTGAAATAAACTTTTATAAGGTTTTAATGAAAACTTAGAATTTACATTTTCCATTTCCGAAATTAAATATGTGGAACTTTTGTTTTAATTATAATATATTAAATTGGGAACCCTAATTTAATTAAGTAACTGATGATGTAATTAAATTTAATTAATTTACTGAGTCATTTTTATATTAATATAATTAAATTATTATTAGTATCATAATTATATTAATATTATTATTATTTTGGTCTGTCTAGAAATTAATTAATTATTTGATAAAAATAATTCCGAATTTATATTCTGATTATTAGATAGTAGTATCTATTTTTACGAAAATATTTTTAAATCTAAAACAAAAAAATAATAAAATTTTCTTTTATTTTTTGCAGAGTGACCCTAGCACAGAGTTCCTACGAGCGGCAAGAGCGGGAGAACTCGAAAAAGTTTTAGAATTTTTAGAATCCGGAGTGGATATCAATACTTCTAATGCTGTAAGTTTCTTTTATTTCCGTTTATTTCATAATTTATTAAAAAATTTATCACATTATTAACTATTCTTATCAATTTTTACTATTACTTATTTCTTTATTTATTATTTATATTTAAATATTATATTTAAATATTCAAATATTTAAGTCTTTATTACATCCCAAATATTCAATAAAAACTGATTTTTATTTTATATAAATAAAAAGAAACTTTTAATCAAGGTAAAATTATCGCAAACATAATCTATAATTCTTTTGCTTCTAAGGTCCCTTTCTTCAGAGTGCGTCACATATTTATTATTGTTATTCCTTACATGTATTTTGTTTAAATATACAAAATAAACTATGACAATATATGAGGAATTTCACACCATTTTTCATTGACATTTCCTATTTTTTTGAAACTTTCTTTTCTTTGAGACTAGCTTTCATGATTTTTTTTTTCAATTTTTACAGCAATTTTTAAAATTTCCGAATATTAATGATGTTTTGTTTTTGAATTCTTAAAAATTCCTTAAAAATGGATTAATTTTAAGTTTTTTTTTAAATTTTATGTTTTTATGTGAAGTTTTTTAAAATTTGGTGCAAAAAAATTCTAGAAAAATAATTTACTATATTTTTTACAATTCAAAAATGAAAATTTTCTTTTAAATATTGCATAATTCTTTTAATTTTTTCAAAAAAATTTTGAAAAAACTATTTCCTTTCACAAAAATTTTAAACCTGGCAAACAATTTTTTCAATACTTTTGGAATTTTTTAAAATTTTCAAAATTTTGAATTTTTTAAAAATACCTTCGGTTTTTTTTATAGTACGTACATTTATGTATTTTGCTGCGCTGATTACGAAAATTATAGTAACAATCCCCATTAATTTGATTTTTATAATGAAAACCATAAAAAAAGACATAAAATTTGTGGTTTCAATAAGATCTTTCGTTTAAATTTTTTTTTTCTTAATTTTTCATATTTTACCTAATAAACAAAAACAACCACAAATTTTAGGTCTTTTTATGGTTTTCTCCATAAAAATTAAATTTATAGGTATTATCACTATGATTTTCGTAATATAAAAAAAAGTAAAATATGCAAAATTAAAAACAAACTTTTAAACAAAAGTTATAGATCTTATTAAAATAAATTTTTTATATCTTATGCATTTTTTTTAATTTTGCATATTTTACCCAATAAACGAAAAAAACCATAAATTTTGGGACTTTTTTTTATGGTTTTCGCCATAAAAATCAAATTTTTGGGTATTGTCAATATGATTTTCTTAATCAGCGCATCAAAATACATAAAAAGTACGTAGTATAAAAAAAACCAAAAATATTTTTAAAAAATTCAAAAATTTTTGAAAAATTCCGAAAATATTGTAAAAATTGTTTAGCCCATTATCGGGCTAGGCTTAAAAGTTTCGTAAAAAGAAGTAGTTTTTTTTAAAAAAATTTTGAAAAAAATCGATCAGTACGTCAAATGAGAAAAATGACTTTTTATCATTAAAACTCAAAAATTTGATAGTAATAAATCGTTTAAAAAAAAATTTGGATTTTTTTTTTTTTTTGAAAAGTACATTTAAAAACACACATTTTGAAAAAAAGACTTTTAAAATTGATGCATTTTTAAGGAAGTTAGGAGCATTCAAAAATTAAAAGTCATGAAAATTCTCCAATTTTCAAAATTCCATAACTCGAAAACGGCTTGCTAAAAAAATTTAAAAAAATTCATGGAATACATCATATAATCGTTATTTAACTTTTACAGTCTAACATTTCCAAGGCGTTGCTTTTTTTTCATTTTCTCAATTTCATTTCATCGTATATTGTCCTATATGACATTTCGCTTAATTCCTTTCGTTCTGTTCCCTTCTTCGTTTTTCTTTAAAAGTAATACGTCGTTTGAGAAATGTCTCCTTGTTACTAATCAAAGCTGCCTTTTTAAGAAAAGAAGTAGGTCACATTTTATGCCATATATATAATATAAGAAAGAAATATTTTCTTTCATGTGCATGAAAAAAAAAATTGTTAAAAAGTTATACGGGATTTACAACTGGATTAAAAGATCATAAAATACATTTTTATAGCCACCATCTGCTTTTTTCATGTCCAAGGGAAAATTTCCGTTTATAACACTTATATTTATATTTATATTTTTGGGAAATTTTTTCTTTAAATCATAAAAGTCTTTTAAATAAAATATTACTGTATTTCTTCGATAGATTTGGTTAAGATTTTTCTTTAGGTAATATTATTTAAGGAAAACAATTTAAATAATATTATCTAGTTGTTTCATTAAATAAATAATCGTGACTTGCGTGAATAATAAGTATATTAAAATTCATTTGTTAAAATTTTCATTTTAATAGAATTTTATTTCATTAGGTAGATTTTGGATTATTTTTATTTTGGACTTTTTGAACATTTTGGGCTTTCTAATTATTTGATTTTTTGTACTTTGGACTTTCTAATTATTGGACCTTTTGTTCCTTGGGACTTTCTAATTATTGGATATTTTAAATTTGAACCTTCTTGTTGTACTGCTACCAGAATTTTTATTTAGTTGATGTTTAAATTTTTCGAATTATTATTTGAGAAAATTTCCATTTAACCGATTTTGTATATTATAGAATTTTTATATAACCAAACATTCATTTCACAGAATTTCTATTTAATCTAATTTCAGCATTTATCGGAATTTTTATCTACTTGAATTTGAATCAAATAAATTTTTTGCAATGTACCTATTTATATAAGAATTTTTGTAATATAGAATTTTTATGTCACCGAATTTTCATTTATTGGAAATTTTATAAATGAATTCTTGAAAAGCCAAATTTTCGCATTTGTCCGAATAAACATCCAGTGGATTATATATAGGAAATACTGATTTCAAATATTTTTTTACCCTCCCTTTATTTCGAAATCTTTATAAAAAAATTCAATGTTTGATAGATTTAATTTCGTTTTACAGAATGGACTGAACGCACTGCATTTGGCTTCAAAAGACGGTCACATAGAAATCGTTAAAGAATTATTATCTAGAGGTGCCCGCGTTGATGCTGCAACGAAAAAAGGAAATACAGCACTGCACATTGCTTCTCTTGGTATGTAAATTAATATTTCGCTATATATAGTTAATATTATTTTTATTACAATACAAAAATTTCTTTTTTCGATTTCAAAAAATTTTTCTTTGATTAAAAAAATTGTTGCTTCAATTTTTGTATAAACAAGTTGTATTTGTTCTTTGTATTTGATAACCAAATTTTACACAGGATAAAAGGATCATTACACTGATCAGATTGTTAATATAGAACTAACAAATCTGATTTGTTTTTGTAACAAATTTTTTGTTCTATTCTGAAATTGTTGTCATAACTGTTAAAACTGTTGAGAAAATAAAAAATTTGTTTTCACTACAAACCAGATTTGTTAGTTCAATATTAAGAATCCGGTTGTTAGATTTAAGAAACCCCTTTTGCTTCATGTAGAATGAAAGATAGAGTTTGTAGTTTTTATATCTATATTCAAGGATTAGAAAAGAAAACAAAAAAATTTGTCTGTTTTTTCAGCGGGTCAAGAGGAAGTGGTACGATATTTAGTTGAACAAGGTGCTTCAGTTAATGTACAGTCTCAAAATGGATTTACCCCTTTATATATGGCTGCCCAGGAGAATCATGACTCTGTTGTTAAATTTCTGCTCAGCACGGGGGCCAGTCAAAGTCTTGCCACCGAGGTGAGTTTCAATTATGATTATCATTTGTCAATTTCATAATTATGATATAATAATTGAGCTGCCATATCAAAGAAGGGCATATAATCCATTTGAATTACATTAGTTATGTGCCCTTCTTTGATCCGGAAGCTCAATTAATACAATTATGTGACGTCTCCGCGACAAAAGGACGAAAAGACAAATCCGAGATTAGTTCGCAATTAATTAATCCGTAACAATCCGATTTTGTTACTGTCAAGAAACTATGCGAGTTTGGAATAATCTAAAATCTTTATGTGAAAAATCCGGTATTAGTCCATCATTAATTCGTATTTAATCTGGTAAAATATATCCTAATCCAAAATGAGTTCTGAAAAATTCGGAATCAGTATGTTCAAAATTAGCAGTCAGTCAGCATAAAAATTCTAATCAGAAAGGAATCCGAAATAGTCTGAAATCTGTATGTAACGAATTTGGATTAAGTTAGATTAAAAATCTTAATTAAAAATCTGTTATTAGTTCGCAAAAATGATGATTTTGTACGTAAACAAATTTTTGACTTTTACGGACTCATTTTGGATTAGAATATTAAATCAGATTAAGATCGAATTTTATGGAGGAAATGTTATTAACTGATTACTCCCAATTGAATAGAATTACTTTTTCTTAGATTACAGTTAACAGTAGCTAATGGTATTACAAGTTGCATTGTTTCATGTTTTTTTTGTATCTGATATCAAAAGTCCTTCAAAGGGTGTCGAATATTTAAAGAGAGTTGATTTTTTCATGGAATCAAAATTTAAAAACCATTTTTGTTTCCGGTCAGATTATCAGTTTAATTTTGATTCAGATATCTAAATTGGAAGTAAAATTTAAATGCTTCTATTTCAATCAGAAAACCTGAAGTAATCACATGAGACTTTCATTTTGTTCACGAAACAGTAACATTAAAAATTCTACTTTTGTATAGATCGTTTCAGATTATCGGCGCACACAGAATATCATAACATTCATTTATGATTTTGAATTAGAATTAATTTACATATATAATTTTATTGTTTTCAATCGTGGAGTAAATCTGTAAATTGATCAATGCTTTGATTTTATAAATCTTCATATACCATTCGAAGAAATAGTTATTTGGATGGTTTGATAATATATAATTTTTGCAAATTGTAGAGTAACTCGGCATCAAAAATTTTAAATCAATTTTAGCGATCTTTGATACCTTTTATCGAGGAGCGATTCATAAATAAATGAATATTTGATAACTTAAAATAAATTCTACAAAAAAAAAATTAAATATTTAAATCTTTTTTTTAGGATGGTTTTACCCCATTGGCTGTATCAATGCAGCAAGGACACGAAAAAGTTGTAACCGTACTTTTGGAGAGTGACACTCGGGGTAAAGTTAGATTACCGGCACTTCATATTGCCGCTAAAAAAGATGATTGTAAAGCAGCTGCGTTGCTGTTACAGGTAAAGAAAAATTTTTTTATTATCAATATTTTTCCCTTTCGTACAATTTTTTTCATCATTTAGTATTGTATTATTGTTTAATAATAGCATTACTTGTAAAGTTTTGTTATTTTAAAAATTTTCTTTTACAGAGCCATCACAATCCAGACGTGACTTCAAAAAGCGGTTTCACACCACTTCACATTGCTTCACATTATGGAAATGATAGAATAGCATTTTTTTTATATGAAAAAGGAGCGGATGTAAATTTCGCTGCCAAGGTATAATTTTGATATTTTCAAAATATTCTCTTATGTTTTATAATTTATTTTTTAATTTACAATTAAAAATTTGATTGTTATTTCTAATTTAATAGCACAACATTACTCCATTGCACGTGGCAGCGAAATGGGGAAAAGTTAAATTGGTTAATTTCCTCATAAGCAAAGGTGCAAATATTCAGGCAAAAACAAGAGATGGTCTTACACCTCTTCATTGCGCTGCAAGATCAGGACATCATGAAGTAATTGATATACTTATAGAAAAAGGAGCGCCAATTGGTTCTAAAACTAAGGTAAATTATTTTGATTTTTATAAATTAATTTGCATAAAAAAAATTAGTTTTTGATCTAGAAATTTCTCAATGATAAATTCTAAATGATTTTTCTTCTGATAAGAAAATTTTAGTATAAAGTCCATTTAGGAAAGAGAGATTTTATCGGAGTCAGATTTTCCTTATTGGAAATTAGTTTTCTCCATTAAATGGAATAGTTACGATAATAAGATCTGTAATTGGATTTTCTAATTGGTAATTTAATTTTTCTAGAATGGCCTCACTCCTTTGCATATGGCTTCGCAAGGAGATCATGTGGATGCTGCGAGGATTTTACTCTATCATCGAGCACCTGTCGATGAAGTGACAATGGATTATTTAACGGCATTACACGTTGCCTCACATTGTGGTCATGATCGTGTGGCAAAGCTTCTCCTCGATAGAAATGCTGATCCCAATGCTCGAGCACTTAATGGCTTTACACCTCTTCACATTGCTTGTAAAAAGAATAGGCTCAAAATTGTTGAATTGCTTATAAAACACAAAGCCAGTATTGAAAATACGACGGAGGTAAGTTTTAAAACAAAGCTCCAAATAATTTTGTTGAAATTACATTCTTTGGTACAAAAAAAAGCATACGAACAACAACTTTGTCAAAATTAGATGGGGGAAAATCCTCATTAGCACAAAAATCTCGCTTTACACGTAACACGAAGTTGATTTGGTGTCCCTCACTTTTATTATTACCCGGCTAATACGAACTATCAACAAGTCTGATTGTGACAATTTGATCTCGAAATCATTAGCATCAAAATTTCGAAAAGAAAACAAACTTCAATCGATTTAGAAACAAAATTAAAAATTCTCCATGAAGTGCAAAAAATGATATTGCACTGCAATTTAATATTCTTCTGTCAACACGATTATTCGACAAAAATCTAAGTTATTTGATGAATGTCCCTCTGGTGCAGTAAATGAAAAAGTGAAAAGATTAAGAACTTCCAAGTACGATGAAGTAGAAACTGAAATTTTTGAATGGTATCACATTTGAGTTTACATTTTATTCACGAAATTTTAAAATCCAAACAAGTATAAAATTTCTCTAAAAAATGTCTTATGTACCAATTAAAAGATATGATTTCAATAATTATTTATTTAATAATACTGATTTATCTTAAACAATATTTTTCTTCCCTTCAGTCTGGACTATCGCCTTTACACGTTGCCAGCTTTATGGGTAGTATGAACATCGTAATTCTCCTGCTTCAGCACGAAGCATGTCCGGACGTTCGGACAATTAGGGGAGAAACACCGCTTCATCTCGCAGCTAGAGCAAGTCAGACTGACATAATTAGGATACTTTTAAGAAATTCAGCACAAGTTGACGCTAGGGCGAGGGTAAGTTGGTAATTTTCCATTGCAAAAGGAAAAGAAAGCAATTAAAGGGAGAAATTCTTTTTTTCAGGAAGAGCAAACGCCTCTTCATGTTGCCTCGAGACTAGGAAATGTTGATATTGTAATGTTGTTGCGTAAGCACGGAGCTGATGTAGACGCCACAACAAAGGATCTCTATACGCCTTTGCACATTGCAGCCAAGGAGGGTCAGGAAGAGGTAAATTTTTTCAAACCAATCAAATTGAAAGTACATTTTCATCAACTAAGAATATAAAATCCCTTTTTCCAGGTTGCAGCTGTTTTGTTAGATAACAGAGCTTCACTGACAGCCACGACCAAAAAAGGATTCACTCCCCTACATCTTGCAGCTAAATACGGTAACATAACTGTTGCTCGACTTTTGTTGCAGAAAAATGCACCAATTGATGCTCAGGGAAAGGTTAGTTTACAAATTCTAAATAAATAATCAAAAATTAATCAATAATAACGAAAAAATTTCTCTTAATGTCACAGAATGGAGTTACGCCATTACATGTAGCATCGCATTACGATCATCAAAATGTGGCGCTACTCTTACTTGAAAAGGGTGCCTCGCCACATGCCATGGCCAAAAATGGTCACTCACCGCTTCACATTGCCGCTCGCAAGAATCAGGTACAAGAATGTCGAAATAATTATTTATCCTTTTTTAAATTGGCTTCACTTTGAAATCAGATTTCGAGGAATTTTTATATAATTAAGAATAATAAATAAATATTTATTAGTGGAAGAATTAAGTTTTTTTTTTGGTGTCTATATAATTAATAAATGAGAATTTTAATTATAATTCACAGATGGATATAGCAACGACTTTATTAGAATATGGAGCGAAAGCAAACGCTGAATCAAAATGTGGATTTACTCCCCTTCATTTGAGCGCTGAAGAAGGACATACGGATATGTCAACGTTGCTCATTGAACATAAAGCTGATACCAATCATAAAGCAAAAGTATTATTTTTTGTTTCAATTCTAAATTCTATTTTTCCTAATATAACTTAACTATATAATTTTCAGTTAAAATAAAATTAAATAAGATGAAAATGTTCGTTTTTTGTCTATTTAAATTGAAATTCTTTTTTCCAGAATGGACTCGTACCGCTGCATTTGTGCGCACAAAATGACAAAGTCAACGTTGCTTCGATTCTCGTCAAGAACGGAGCTCAAGTCGATGCAGTAACTAAGGTTCGTATTTTTGGATATCTATTTTCTTTTCTAGGGAAATTTCCTTCTTAATTCAGCTCCAACTATAGATTTTATAAGAATAATACCTATAAGTATCTACTAGTTATTTATTATATCTATTATCAATTAATGAAGAGTGGAGAATAAGGGTCAGTTTCACCAACTCCGGTTAAAAGTTAATTAGCGATTAAAGAAAATTTAACCGCTCATGATTAGTCGGTTAGGGATTCAATCGCTGATTAACTTTTAACCGGAGTTGATAAAACTGGTTCTAAATCACTGAATTAATTATAATTTATCCAGTGATTTAGTCTTCATTCATCATTTTGTTTCTAAATGATCTTATCTGACAAAGGAGAGTTGAGGAATCCCATACGGCACTCAACAAACTAGCTGAAAATAATCGCGTTACCTTCCTCTGGGTCCCAGGATACAGCGAAATTTAAAGTAACAATATAGCGGATGAACTAGCCAAAATAGGAGCTAGAGACCAATTTATCGGATCTGTTGGTGTCTGACAAATGTCTGGTCCTGGAATTTAAGCGGTGGCGAGATACAGAGCATCAGAAAAAGTATTGGGCAACTACAGATTGTAGAAAAGCCAAGACACTCATTGGAAATAATATAGACCTAAAAAGAGCAGTGGAATTGCGCAGACTCAATAGGAAAGAGATGAAAATCGTAACAGGCCTTTTAACCAGTCACGGAGATTTATGTTATCATAGACATCGTCCTAATGGTTTTACGGGTAAGATCTTCCTATACAGGTATACCTACACGGTCCCCCATGGGACCGATGACACAGAATTTCTTCCAGTCACCTTCCAATTAGCAATGCGACCGACCTAAGTCACGATTGCTCTTCTTGCACGGAAAGTTCTTGGGCGAGCTGCTGTACCTAGCAGTAGGGCTGCTTCATGAAATAAGAGAATACTTACGTCCTATAGTTTGGATGAACTGATCTCTATTTGAGAGAGCGCTGATGTCCCACAGAGGTACAGCAGACAACACTGTTTTGGGATAGCTGCTCACCTACAACGGAAGAGAAGCTTTCTCGCATTGGTTCTGGAGGGTGACTAAAGTTAATGTAGCGCAGTGCTACTATAGCTAGTAAAGCAGATCATCCAAAAAAAATGTCCGTGTGTTGAGAGGCGGGACCTTTCCAATCCCTTGAAACTCTGCAGGCTACCGCCCGAGTTGAGTTAGTGCAACTCCTGCACACACTGAATACGAAAGACGTGTGCGCAACGTGCTAACGCACCCTATCCTTAAGGCCCTCTCCAGAATGGAGCTAAACGCAACGCAGACGCGACGCATCGCAATGCTAAGCAAATGGGGATGCGTCGCGTTTGCGTTTAGCTCCATTCTGGAAAGAGCCCAAGCGATTTAGGCTGTAATCACTGTCACCACGAATCCATGCCCAACGCCGGGCAGAGAATCGAAGGTCTTCTGGGTTCCAGGCGCTTCCCGTGGTACCATTAGACTTAGGTACGAGTACCACATTCCAGTATTCGATAAACTGGAGGTCATACTAGCGGTTGGTTACCGTTTAAATATGACGACATGCACCACATACATGTCTTCACCAACCGGAAGGTAGTGACTTCCGAAAAACTCGGAACTACTTCAGGTCAAGACAAGCAGCACATGTGCCGAAGCCACCATTCTTTATTATAGCCAGTCGGGACATCACAATTGGCGACGAAAATCGCCCTAGGATTAGGCGGCATTAGGAAACTGAATTCGGTTCAGGATTCTATCGCGGAACAACTCAGGCAGGGCCACTAGTATAGTTAGGGATTCACCGCTTCTGTGTTACAATCCGAAATTATGGCAGTACTCTATGGTGCTTATGAATATCTACACTGAGAGAAGGAAAGCACGGAATCTGAAATGGAGAAGTTCAGCATCTGTACACCAAGTTAAGCGCAGCAGCAGCGTCACTGTGTGATAGATGCAGTACTAAAATGTGAAATGGATGTTGTGCTTGGCTTGAGTATAGATACTGTACACAGATATGGAACTGTTCAGAAGTACAGTATCTGTCGGTCGTTATGAGACAGATTCCGTATAACTTAGTTCACACCGCTGCCGCGCTGCTAGAGCTTAGTATCTGAACTATGAACGACACCAACTGAAGAAAACTAAAGAACGGATACTGACACCCATTTTCTTCTCTCAGTGTAGAAATTTGCCAAAATCTGTTACCTTTTCTGTGCAGCTATTTTTGCCTTGAAGCGTTAGGTGACTAGGTCAAAGCTAGTTAAAGATCTGTTAAATCACGATGCACTCAACAGATTTACTGAAAGTAATACGAAAGTATTACTTTCCTCTGGCTCCCTGGTGACAGTGGTTTCATGGAACGAAAATCGAAATAGCTGAAACAAGAGCTAAGGAAAAATTCATTGCTTATGAATTGGTGTCTCTGGTAAATGCTTGGCCTTTGAATTTAAACAATTTTTGATAACTCCAACCTGTGGAAAGAAAAACCATACATAAAATTCTGACCGCTATGTTAATACAATAGAAGTCAAAAATTTAAGTGTTGTTTTACTTTCCAGCGGCAGAAATTCAGTGCATGATGTATTCAAACACTCTGCAAAGGTAGGCACCTTCATTTTCAGTGGTTGTGGCACTGAGAATTGCTATCTACACAGCACATTATATTTCCTGAATATTTTAATGAGAGGTATAATCTAATAAGGTATCAATTCGTCATTGTTGAATGTTAGGATGAGTTGTTTTCTAAAATATGAGAGTATTAATCGGCAATTTTTCTTAATGTTTCAAAAAGCTCTCCATTGTCAGATAGACACAAAAAAGAATGAATGAATATTTAATCACTGTTTATATAACATAGGCCGACAAAATTTTATCCTATTTCAAAACCAAAAATTAGACTTTAATTCTTCGAAACATTTTGACATACTGAATCAGATTTTGACCCAGCACGTCAGGTTTTCAAGATATTCTAATCTAAATGTTAAAAATACCGTTGTTTTAGTCTAAAAAATCTTTATTTGGTTCTGGGTTATCGTGATTTGAATGTTTTGAAGCATTATCTGATACACGAATAATGAAACATTCACCACTCAGAATATTCAATTGACGATAACTTAGAACCAAATAAAGATGTTTTAAAATTTCAAAATGCATTTTAAAGAAGATCAGAATCTGATTCGTCAAAATATTTCGGAAAATTAAAATATGGTTCTGAAGTAGGGAAAATTTTTTATCAGACTGTGTAATTTATGATATAAACTTGTAGCAGAGACTATCGTAAGACAACTAACTTAAAAGAGCAATAAATAACTATTGAACTCGCAAATGGATGTTTCTGTTAATTAAATTACTAAAGAATTTGTAACGAACATTCTAATTGTCCCGTGCTCTATATCAGGTCAGGTACTTCATTTTTCTAATACTATTCGAAGAGCAAGTTTAAGTTTATTAATCCCAGTTGTAGGATCATTTGTCTTTTATATATAGAGAACATCAGAAATGATGAACTATTTGAAACAAATTTAATTAAGTGTCTTATCATAATTGGTCGAGAGTGTTTCAAGAGATTGAATATGCTTTATTTCATGTTTCTCTGACAGGCTGGCTATACACCGTTGCACGTTGCATCTCACTACGGACAAGCAGCAATGGTACGATTTCTCTTAAGATCAGGAGCTGATGTTGATTGCAGTACAAACGCTGGATATACGCCTTTACATCATGCTGCTCAACAGGGCCACACACTCATTATTAATTTGCTTCTCGAAAGCAAAGCAAATCCCAATGCTGTTTCAAATGTACGTCTATATAATATTATCAACATAAATTTTATTCCTAATGATGTAATATTTGTAATTGGATTGCTTTTTTTAAAACTTATAATATTCTACAACTCTTCAGTTATGATTCATTTTAAAAATTATTTTTATTATGTTTACTTTTAATTTTAGCGATTCTGATTTAAACTGATTGGAATTTTGAATTTTGAAGTATTTATTAAATTCTAGCTAGAAAAAAAAAGGTTTTTAATATTGCAAATCTAAGGGATAATTATTTCTTTTATAAAGTATGGACACACGGCTTTGGATGTTGCAAACAAAATGGGCTATATCAGTGTCATAGAAACTTTGAAAGTTGTAACGGAAACGACAATAACGACAACTCACACAATCACAATTGAGGAGAAATATCGAGTTCAAGCTCCTGAATCGATGCAGGAAACATTTATGAGTGACAGTGAAGATGAGGGTGGTAAGTTATGAAATAAAATTCTATTAATTTTTAAGAATGAAAAAAAATATTGCAAGTAACACGTACTTATATATTAGATTTTGCTTCTATTTTTTCTATATTCTAGAATTTTTGTTTTTAGATTTTAAATTCTTTTTTTATATGACAAAATTCTATTTCACAAAATGAAGATGGAATTCTAAAATCTAGATAAATTATTATTAAAATAGCTGTAGTTTTAAACTTCTTTTTTATTACATTAACTGAAAATCAAGAGCCCTTCAGTTAATTTTGAAAAAATTTACTTTATAGCAATTGAATAGTAATAGAAAAAATAACTTTTGCAGATATTTGAATTTGCATGTAAAATATATGCATGAACAGGCATGAGATTTTTTTTTCCGTTTTATTATTGGCTAACGAGAAAAAAATTGCCTTGCATTTTAATTCCTGACGTTGAATATCCCCTTCCCCCTGCCAATATTATATACAAAAATATAGACTGCGTCATCGAAAAGAATGACGTTTGTTAAAAATCAAGAGGTGACGGTTAGTGTAGATGTTCGGAAAGAGAAAAAAAAATAAAAAGAGAAAAAAAACACCGATAATTGATTCAAGACAAATGGGAAATTAAATCTTCTTTATTTCTAATTGTGTTCTGTAAATAGCGATGTTTTCAATGTTCTGTATATTTGAAATACAAAACGGAAAAAATTTGATAGTCTCGCGAATTATTATTTGCTTGTTCTTTTTGAATTTTGCATATATATATATATTTATTCCTTTCGCTAGCGCATGTGTTTAGCACATTTTTCACTGGGTTGTCGACAACAAAAAAAAATGTGTTTAACCTTAGTGGAAGTTGATGAGTTGAAGGTGAAAATTTTTCTAATTACAAATTTTTGCTAGTAATTTCTTTTCTTTTTTAACTGGAATTACGTTTTCTATTTCATCGAAACTTCCACCGAGTAAGTTAAACAAGTAAAATGATAAAAAAAAAGTTGCGAGTATATAATATGATAATTGCTTTTTCTGTATAAGAATAAAAAATCGATTTGCATCCAGTGAGCAAAATAAAGTACAACTTTTTATTTAAATTAATTTAAAGAAATCAATTATTATTAAATTAATTTCAATTAACGGACACATTTTTTGTGGTAAAATAGTGTAATTATTTTTTTCAATGATCTTGAATATTCATATGTTTTTTTGAAACGCTGATTACAATTCCAATGACAATTTTTTAAAATTCAAAATGGCGGATCCAATATGGTGGAAGAATTTTTAAAATTCAATCACAACCCTGGAATTCAGACTATGTTTAATTAATGTTTTTAGGGTCCCTAAGCCGAATTCACTGTACATTTTACCCCATCTTGTCAGGATTTTGATATATAACCTTAAAAATTCTACACAGGAACACAAACAATTGAAAAATAATCCAACCCTGGGATTCAGACTATGTTTATTTCACGTTTTTGGAGTCGCTGAAATCTAATCCGCTGTCCATTTTACCCCATCACTTCGGGATTTTGACATAACCTCAAAAATTCTTTACAGGAACACAAAAAAAAAGAAAAATAATTCACCCCTGAGATTCAGAATATGTTTATTGTACGTTTTTGGGGTCGCTAAAGCCGAATCTGTTGTAAGTTTTACCCCATCTTGTCAATATTTAGATATAACCTTTCAAATTCAACAAAGGAACACAAACAATTGTAAAATAATCCAACCCTGGGATTCATTTAATTATTTAAGTTTATTTATTTTAAGTTTTTTGTGGTCGCTGAAACCTAATCCGCTGTCCATTTTACCCCATCACTTCGGGATTTTGACATAACCTCAAAAATTCTTTACAGGAACACAAAAAATAGAAAAATGATCCACCCCTGAGATTCAGGCTATGTTTATTGTACGTTTTTGAGGTCGCTGAATCCGAATCCGCGGGTCCTTTTACCCCTTCACATAAGGCTTCTTGACTTAAACTTAAAACAAAGAAATTTCGACGTTTAAGTTATTGATAAATTTTTAGGGATGATACATTTTCAACTTTTTTTTTGCTCACTGTACGTCATTCGATTTGTATTTATTATCTAACTGGCTGAATTTCCAGAAATTATTTTTATTTTTTATGTGTGTAGTGTTTTTTTTTGGCAGAGAGATGTATAGTGATTGTTTTTTCTTCGTCGTTTCTGTTTTTATTTTTTGTTTTATATAAATCAAAGTGCGTGAATGTTTAATAAATTATATATATGTTTTGAGAGAAAAGAGCGTACAACCCAGTGAATAAAGATGACGAGGATTTAGAAAAAAAAAAAGTTAAAAAGAGAAAAAAAAATTAAGAAATATAGAGGGTATTATTACTGTTTGATGAAATCAAAAAATATTCCTCAATGGCGTATACAATGTAATAGGTGGTGATGAAATCGACGTGGCTGCCATGAATGTGTACGGTCAACCGCCACACGCACAACATGTGTACCTTCCTTCCTACTACCAGGGCCATATGACCTACACTCGTAAGTTCTCTATCACCGTCTCGCTCTCGTTTTTTGTTACTCTCTCACTCACTCACTCACTCACTCTCTCATCATCCTTATTTTTACCCTTGTCCTCTCCATTGTCGTTTATATATTCTTCTATCTTTTTTCTTTTTTGTATATAAATACAAAATACAATATTATATACAATATAAAAAAAAAAAATACTCACACGCTAGAACCATTTGCACAAAACGTAGCGATTCTCAGTTTCACTTAATATTATGCAATCAAGTATTTATTGTGCCTCTTTTTTTTACTCTCACCTCTCCTCACGGTCAAGATCATCAATTTTTGCACTATTTGACATTTTTACTATAAATAGACAAAAATTTTTTTCGTTTGTCACCTATTATTATTATAGAATACTCTTTGTTAGATATACATGAGCTAATAAATATGTGCGAATTTAATTTTTTTTTTTTATTGGGGTCGATTTATTATATTTTACCCAGTCGTTTTTCGGACTATTTTTAGAAAAATTCTGATATTTCGTAAAAATGATTTTTAATATCCGTACAATTCATTTTTGGCAATTCATATAATTAATTAGAATTTTCAATTTAAAAAAATTTATTTGATATAATTTTTTTAGATGAATTAGCCTCTAACCGAATTTCTTTTTAGACGAAATTTTACTTAACCAAATTTTTAGGCAACTTTTATTTGGCAAAAATTTTTTTTTTCAGTTTATGAGGAACCAGAATTTATTTAATGTATACTTATATGCGTATAGATAATAGATGTTTTAGATTTGGGTTCATATAAATTTATTAACAATAAAGTTATTTTCTTGTTTCGTTTTTATATTTATGCATTAAGAGTGTTGAACGGTATCTGAAATTCTTTAGCAAGAAGAGAGCTTTAATTATCGCTCTGAACGTGAAATAGTATTGATTTTAAAATACTTTTTTCTCGAAACACGAACACTTTTAACAAAATCAGCCAAAATTCTCATCTTATAAATTTCCTAAATCCAAAAGACTGTACAAATCCATAGAAAAACATGGTTGCAAAACAAAAAGAAGAAAAGTAATCTAATAACAGCTGCGACTTTGTGCGCCCTGCATGCTGCTGCCATCTGATGGCGACAGGAGGTAATGAACCCCTCATTATATTACTTTTCCTTTTGCAATCGTGTTTTTGTATGGATGCGCATAATCTTTCGGATTTAGGAAATTTATATAAGATAACGATCTCTAGCTGCTTTGGTAAAAAGGGTCCGTCTTTCGAGAAGAAAGTATTTTAAAATCAATGTTTATCATTTTCACGTTTAGTGCCGTTTTTATAGAGCGATAATTAAAGGTCTCTTCTTGCCAAAAAATTTCAGAGATCATTCGACTCTCTTGAATAAATTTTGTCTCTCTTAAAATCGTTCTTTTAACATTATAATTTAATTTTTTAAAACCGGACACAAACACTACAGCAATATAATTATTTATATGTAAAATTGAAAATAAGTAATTATTTTATAATTTATTACAGTATTTATTAGATTAAATAAATTCTGATTCCCCATGAAACACTGTTTTTATATAAAAACTCCATTTTATTTAAATCCGGCACGTAAACTGATTTTAAAAACTATTGAGAAATGATTTTTATTCATCCAAGAATCATAATCAAAAAGTATTTTTAAGTGCCAATTCATTTTTATTTAAACCACCTTCTGGCGCACCGTGATCTCATTCAGAATAGAAGAATGAATTTTTAAATAAAAAATTTTTAAATATTAGAATTTCCAATTCGAATCTTAAATTGTCCAAATTTTTATTTTTACGAATTCTCCGAAATTGCAAATAGCCGAATATACAGTCAACAGAAAGATTTCGGCGCGATTTTCAAAAATTGACCAATCAGAAATTATCAAGAAAATTGTGATTGGCAAATTTTAAAAATAGTGCCGAAATCTTTCTGCCGATTTTATTGGTTTTATCCATTTCAAATTTAGGATAAATGAAATTTCGGCATATTAAGAATTCTATCAAATAACAATATAAAAATTTGGAGAAATTAAGATTCGTGTTTGAAATTCTAGCATTTAAAAATTCGAAGCACTTAAAAAATTCTATTAAACGAAAATTCTGCTAAATTAAAATTCTAAATTAGAATTTTTTCGAATAAAAAGTTGGTTAAAAAAAATGCTGTTATATAAAAGTTACCTAAAAATGTTGTTAAATTACCAATTCGTTTAAAACTGAATTTTGTCAAATGCTAATTCGAAAAATGAAAATTCGTTAAAAAAATAATTAAAACTTTTTAAAATGAAAATTGCAACTAATGATTTTTATGGGGTAATTTGCGCTCTGATTTTGCTAAAACTTGACCGCAATGATTTTGGGTGAAATAATGAATTGATACATTCGAATTTTGTAAAAAAAAGAAAAGTAATAAAAAACATAAAATACTTGATTTAATTAATCAAGAAAATACAGAATTTTTAAAAAATTGTATAAATTCGTACATATTTATTATATATGTTTTTCATTACACATCTGATTTTTTAATCATTATAGTCAATTTCTAGTTTTTTATTAAACACACAATTTTTTATATATATATTAAGATAATATTAACTTTATCATTGTAGATAATGTACTTTTAATGAAACAATTTTTATCAAATTGAATTTTTCATCATTATTATATAGATAAATATGAATTTTTTCTTATAATAATTAGACAACAATTGATTTTAACGAGTATAATTTTTTCAATTTTTTTTTTTTTTTTTGAATAACTTTATAAATACGTATATTCTCTTGTATTCTTTGTGGTATATTTCTTGGAAAATCAATCAAAGAAAATAATCGTAGGTGCTATAAATGTCAAGTGCGAAGTTGATCTAGGCGAGGAAGGATGCGCGCTTTGGTTTTGATCCGAGGAAGAACTTGATACATTATCTATTTATGAGATACTACATCTAATTCATGTTACATCATTTTTTGTATAGATAAATAGTCGTAAGAATCATATCAGTGGTGTATCTCGCCTTCAACTTCGCAGTTATAATAATCAGTATATATACATCGAAATACATGGTAAAACGTATATATATATATATATTTTTGCTGTCACTCTTTTTTTTTAAACAGAGAGACAAGAATATTGAGGAAGTGATTCCGGCCATTAAAGAAAAAAAAATCTATTTTTAGAAATGATATAGGCAAAATGAAAAAACTATTTAATCAAAAAGAAACTTTCGAAAAAAAATGTTGCTTCCTGTGTATTAATGTCCATTTGTCATAATGTCATAATATTATTGTGATAATTTTGAGGATATTTTTTCAATTTTCCGAATCTCGCTATTGGTACACAGAAAATTAAAAGGCATTAAAATAAGCTGCAACGCTTATTATTTTAATCTAATTTTGCTTATTTTAATCCATTTTGGTATTAAAATAAGCAAAATTGGATTAAAATAATGAGCGTTGCAGCTTATTTTAATACCTTATAATTTTCTGTGTAATTTTTGTTTTGTTTTAAAGGGAATTAATTTTTTTGGATGCATGATTATGATCTAAAAATTATTAGTTAGAATTTTCATTTTTTTGGAATTTCATTTGTCATAATTATTTTTGAGCCGAATTTTTATTTGTTCGAATTCGTATTTTGCAGAATTTTCATTAAAATGATTTTCTATATTACAGAATTTTTATATAATCGAAAATTCACATTACAGAATTTTTATTTGTTCGAATTTTTATTTGCATAGAATTTTCAATTTATTCTTTCAGATGAATTTTCATTCGTTCCAATTATTATTTGATATAACTTCCATATAATCGATTTTTCTGCAGAATTTTTACTTACCCAAAAAATTATTTAACAGAATTTCTAATTGATAGAATTTTCATTTGTCCGAAATTTCAAATAGCCGAAACAACAATCGATTTTGGCGCTATTATTAAAATCAACCAATCAAAAATTATCCATAAAATTGTAATTGGTTGATTTTAAAAATCGCGCCAAAATCGATTGTTGTTTCGGTGATTTGCAATTTTGGCCAAATGAAAATTCTATCAATTAGAAATTCTGTTAAATGATTTTTCGGGTATGTAAAAATTCTGCAAAAAAAATCGATTATATGGAAATTATATAAAATAATAATTGGAACAAATGAAAATTTATCTAAAAGAATAAAATTAAAATTCTATGCAATAAAATTCTACCTAATAAAAATTCTTTAAAATGCCTACTATGTTAAATGAAAATTCGAGCAAATAAAAATTCTGACAAAAATCGAACAAATAAATATTCTTCGAAGTGAATTTTCGGTTATATAAAAATTCTGTAATACAGTAAATCGTTTTGATGAAAATTCTGCAAAATACGAATTCAAACAAATGAAAATTCGGCTTAAAAATAATTATGACAAATGAAATTCCATAAAATTAAAATTCTAACTAATGATTTTTAGAATCACGCGTCCCTAATTTTTTTTAAGAATATTTTCCGAATTCAATGTTTCTTTAAAATTGGATAATTTTTAGATTAGAAGGTACGAAGGCGTATAATATTTGTATATTAGTATAGAAACATGTGAAAATTTCAAATTTCATGACATGTTTGCAAATCAAAGGGCGATTTAAAAAAATTTTCACTACCTGATAATTTGCTCTAGGAAGATTTGATTAATAATCTCCTAATAAAGAAGAGGAATTTTGAGTGTATCTTTTCCATTGCGGATTAGGTTTAAAAAAAAAAAAGCGTTTTATAAATCCCAGTTATTAGAATGATCTTAATTTATAGCTATACTCGTGATATGAAAGTGCAATTAAATCTTTAATTAAAGTTCCTCCTACGAAAAGGGAGTAACACATGAGGATAATTTTGTTACGTACTATTACGATAAATTGTCGATGAGATATGCTAGTAATTTATTCAAGTTCTCCTCGTCATTGTAATTTTGCTATATATATATATATATAAATATATATATCTGCAAGATTCGTCTTGACGTGTACAATCATCATCATC